CGGGGCCGCGGGCGGGGCCACGGCGCGGGGTGGGCCACGCCACCCGGAGCCAACGACTCACTGAGGTCTGAACACCCCAGGAGCCCACAAAACATCTCAGCATCTGAGAAGCGTCGAGACCGAACTGCAACTCGAAGCCAAACCTCAGACCTTGCCCTGAGGGCCTGGCGTCAGGAAGCGGGAACACCTTCCCGGTCCCGACTCTGGCTCGGCAGGTGCCGTGAGCCGCAGCCCAGGTCCCACGCCGCCAGGCCCACCCTGCTCCCCTGGGGGAGACGGCAGCTGGAAGGGCCTATTTTCTCTCCCAAAAAAGAATCCCATTCCTCGTGCTTCAAAAATTTAAAAATCCACTTCTTGAAAAGTCTCTGAAGCAGGCGGCCAGATCACAGGGTGTTTCCGTCTGCTCCGTACAGTCTTCTGCAACAAAGGGTGGCGCGTGCACCTCGGCGGCCAAGACGTGGAAACACGGAGACGGGCGGGCTTTGCCCCGCAGACGCTGGCGCTCCGCGCTCCCCGAGGGAGCTCCTCAGACGTCTCCCTCCACGTCTGCCGGACTCAGCGCCACCAGCTCTAAGAAAAACTTCGTATTTTCAATTCTAAACCTCGTTCATGTTTATAAGTGGTACCTGCGGATGGTGGTAGGTGTTACACTCACTTCTAGAATTTGGACGTTTTTAAGAGTCGACCAAACCATATTGGAAACACGGGCCCGAGCACTGAAGCAACTGGGCTGATGCTGCGGGGTGGGAACTCGAAGAACCCACGCCGACCCACTCACCAGCGGGCCCGGGACAGTCCCTGGGAGGGCGCGGAAGGCACCGTCCAGGCTCGCTGGGACTCCACACCAGGGCAAAGAGCCCACCTCTGAGTCAGGCAAGTCAGAATCCGCATCTGCAGAGGGACCAGTCCCCAGGCGCATGTCCAGCGCCAGCAAGGCTACGAGACCCCCACCTGCACCCTCTGGGGAAGCCTGGGACGTCAGGCACCAGGCCAGGGGACAAGGACGCACAGCCATGAGACCTCCAGGCAAAGCAGCAGGAAGAGCCCTAGAGGGTGGCGGGGAGTCTCACCCCCTTGACAGGCACCTGGCAAGATCCGGGGCGAGAGACAGGAGGGGCCAGTGGGCGGCGGGCGGAGGCCAGTCGGGAAGGGAACCAGCACAGAGCACGCCTAGCGGAGGTCAGACGAGGGATGGGCCTCCCGCGTGCAGAGAGAGGACAGGACCCCGACCCAGCTGCAGAACACGGAGGAGGCCGCACTCCTGACACCCCAGGGAGACAGTACACGCCCACCACCCCCACACCACCACTGCCTGCAGCCGGTTTCCCAAGTGACACCCGGGAAGAAGGCCCGGAAGCACGAGTCCTCACGGGGAGACGGACGATGACCACGTGCCCCTTCGTCTCCCTGGGGGCTTGGAGGACTCGCCTGCCCCAGGAGACAGGGCAGTCACACAGGGTTTTCCTTCCCGTGAGACCACGGAGCGCAGACAAGCCCGAGGGCACAAGGCCACTGTGGTCACACCCACATGGGCCCTGGGGCAGCCCCACCCTCGGCCGTGACCCCTCGCGCACAGGCTCACTGTCACCATCACCAGCTCCCTCCCCAGTTCCCCACGCCGCCAGCTGGCCCGCGGGTCCTGCCGCCGGGGACTTGGGAGGACAGCCAGCTGGCAGGGTCAAAGATCTGCATGGAAACGTGCCAGAGAGACGCCCATAAACGGCTGGCGTCCCCGCAGCGCTGGAGCCCCGCACCTGGCTGACTGTTACTGGCTGAGGCCCAGGTCAGGCCGCCCTGAGCCAGGCCTTCGGGGACAGGCCAGCCCTCTCCGAGACGCAAGCTGCGCCCCCAGAGCCGCCTCCTCTGCCCTAGAGTCCAGGCACACCGGGCCTCCTGGGACACCGGCCAGCAGTGGCCCGAGTGACCTCCTCCTGAGCACCTCCTGCCCACCAGGCGGCGAGAAGCCCCCAGGCGCGCCCACAGGCATGCAGGTCAGCCGGGGTCCACGCCCGCCAGGCCCTGGCGACCTCCTGGACGGCAGACAGCCCCGCGAGAGGCAAAGCAAGCAGGGGGGGCCCGCACGCCGCCAGCCCCAGGCGTGGCTACGGGCCTCCCCTCGCAGGATGCACGCTGTCGGCCCGGCAGCACAGCGTCTGCAGCCGGCCTCTGGGAGCAGGGGGTGTGCCTCTCATCTCGTTCACACGGTTTTATTTTACCACTGGCAATAGGATTGCATTTTTGTGCGTTTTTCCACTTTCAATAAGAACACAGAAACAGCAAACATGACCCCAACCAACTGCATTGCTTGGACCGGCTCCAGGAAGAAGCAGCAGCGGGGAAGGCTCGCCCGGACACCCGCACAAGGCGCTACTAGTCCCGCAGCCAAGACTTCGCTCACGGCAGCCGGCTTCAGGCGTGGCAACCAGAGACAGAGCTGCTCAGAGATCCACGGGACGACCAGGAGGAGCAGTGAGAGGAGAGAGAAGCCAGGGGAGAGGGCCCGGCGGAGACCCCGGGGTGAAGCGCCAGCAGCGCGGGAGTCGGTGTTCACGCACGGTGTCCGGGGGCTGCGGGCAGCCTGCAGTCCTTCTGGGCCTGGGCACCCCAGCCAGACCCCCTGCTCAGCTCAGACCCGGTTCCGTGCCGGCTGGGGCAGGTCAGAATCTCCATCCACGTAAGACATCCACGGAGGCGGCAGGCTCCCTCTGCACCCCGGCCAGCGGAGGACGGGCGCCTCCTGGGCACGAGCGGGCGGCCAGCTGACTTACAGAAGGGGCGGGCGGGGCGGGCCCAGCTCCTCCCAGTGCTGCTGTTTGTGTTTTGTTTGGAGGACGGCCGGACAGGTGCTCCCAACATCATCCGCAAGAATTACAGGAAAGGCAAGGACGCAGTGACCTCTGCTCCACAGTGACCACTCGCAGAACTCCAGTCCGAGTTGAGCAAGAGAAAATAATTAGGATCCAAAGAGTGAACTACCCGCATGTTAGTGGTTAAAATGAGAACCTGGAAAACAGCGAAAAAGCCATTTAGTCTGACTGAAGGCACCACCGAGCAGCCTCCAAAACCCTGAGCAGCCGAGGACTCGGAAGACTGGCAGGCGCACACGCACACACACGCACCGACACATGCACACGCACCGTGGGCGCCACGCGGCAGGGCTCTCAGGAGGCCGGGGCACGAAAGTCCTGGCCCGGCGGGTCACTATCCGGGGGAGACCAGCAGTCCCAGGAGGAAGCCGGGAGGCAGCACAGGTCCTGGAGACCGACTCCAGAAGCAGTCAGGTGCTAAAGGGTGGGCAGGAGGCCCACGGCACTGCCAGCGAGAGGGCCCGGGGGTCTCAGAATGAACAAGCCGGGTTTGCTCGAACTGCACTGTGGACACCGGACGACTCCCTACCAGGCGGGGCACACGGATAAGCGCCGGGACGCGTCCCCAGACAGGGAAGACTGTGACTTGGAGCCAGGGGCCAGGCACGTGGAGCCCACAGGAGGCCAAGGCGAGGCACAGCCAACAGCAGCAGGAGAGCGCCAGGCCTCATCGTGCACACTGCACCCACCGCCACTTGGGGGTCAGTTCAGTCAGGGTCATGGGCACTGACACCTCCAGACGCGCCCCCAGCAAGGGCTGGGGTAACCCCCCCCCGAGACTCGCCATCACCACCAAAACCTGCAGAATCCCCAGCTCAGGCCCAGAAACTGGAAGGAGGGAGCCCTGTTTTCTACGAGGGGCCCAGGAGGCCCGGAGTCCAATGGTCAGAGGCCCATGGGCAGCAAGGGAGCCAGAAGGACGGCCAGTCAGTGAGGGTCACGCTGGCCGGGACACAACACCCTTCAACCCTCCCAGTGCTGTCACCGGGACCCCCAGGTGCTGGAAACAGCAAGAGTCTCAGTAAATGTGGCTGAGAAAGGCCATGGCACAGGAGGGAACCCGAGCACTGGAACGGGGTGCGTCTGCATTGGTGTCCAAGTCGGTGGGATATTTCAGCAGCTCCGCAGGACTCGGAGACAAGACACTCCCAACAAGTCACTAAGAGCACCAGCTTGACAGCAAGGCACCCAAGGAACCGCACAGGAGCGTGAGGTTTCCATGAAACTAACCCGCACGCAAGTTCCCTCCCACGACAGAGCACCTGTGCGCTGAGGCGCAGGGGACACACCGCCGCCTACACCGCTGGAGCCCGGCCCCCCACGCGGACGCTCCCGCCAGACGCCAGACCCCAGGACCGACGTGGGAGCGCACGGACCTCGGCCCACCCCGCCTGCTCGAGCGCGGGAGGAGAGGAGAAGCCGCGCTCCTGTGCGGACGTGAAGATGGACCCACAGCGGACACAGGCCAGGCTGTGCCCCCTGAGCAGGACCAGCGGGTGTTGAGACAAACGCCCCCAGGAGAGGCGACGGGGCGCCCCCGGACCAACAGGCACAGCCCCCACTGAGGGAGCTGGGAGGACAGGCGCTAGCTCACGCAGCGCAGGCGCGGGAGGTCAGACAGCCTGGAAGGACAGACTCCGCAATGTGGCCGAAGGCCGACGGGGCGGGGGGTGCTCTCGGCAAACGAATCAGACAAGCGTGCGCTATGAAAACTCAGCGGTGAATGAGAAATGCCTCCGAGCGTTATTTCCGCAGGTGCCGATCCCTCGTGTCAGCACCAACCGGGCTGCTCAGGACAGCCAGAAAACGCCAGAAGGTCGTGTAAGTGCACGGACACTGCGCTGGGCACCCCCCACGCCCCGGAGCCCCTGGTCTCGGACCTCTGTGGGAGGGGACACGCAGGGCCACTGCGCCGCCCCCCACCCCGGCCCGTAGCCGCCCCAGACCTATGACGTACGGCTTTCCAAAAAAACACACCTTCTGTCTCCTTTTCTAGAAATTAAGAGAATTCTGGCCGAAAAAGTGCAAAACCAACAGGCGGGCAGCACCTCCCAACACCTGTGCCCCAAGAGCCCCGAGAGGACGCGGCCGAAGGGCGCCCGCGCAGTTACCTGTGTCCAGGCGCTTTCCCGGGGACCCCTCCTCCACCTCGGAGTCGCCGCAGGTGCTTCGCGACCTTTTTCTTGGCTGCAGAAGAGTCTCCAACCTCGGAAGGACTACAGACAAAAAGGTTTTGGTCCCTAGCTGAGGAGAAGTTGGCTGGGTTTCAGTGTTCTTGGCAGACTTTGGGGGGCTTACACTTTTCGATTTGCAGAAGAGAACAGAAGTGCGTCTGTTTACATCGCTTGATGGCTCCGCCACCGCGGAGGCCGCCGCCGGCGCATCGCCACTACTGGCGAGGGAGGGCTCTGGAGGGTGTCCGATTACCAGTGCGCTCTGAGTGCAAGTGCTATGTGATGCATTATCAAATGTGACTCTTTTGAATAGTTTACTCTGCTCTGGGTTGAGTTCTACTGGTTTGAGGGTTGGTGGTTCTGAATTAGTCTCCGAGTTTGAAGGAAGAGGTAATGCATCTGATGGTTCAAGTTTAGGGGGAGATTTATCTCCTGAAAAAATTATAAATAAAGTGATTTTTGAAAACTGATAATTATAAAATCTATTATAAAACTTACTATAAATGTGACGTCCACCAAAATACTTATTCAGTTAAGGAAACAAAGCATCACACATAACTGTCTGCAGGCAGTGGGCCCGGGCCACTGGGCGGCACTGTGCGCCGCCCTAGCACTGAAGACCCAGGCGCCTGGCGCCCACGTGCATAAAGCTACTGTTCGCAAACAACCCTGAAGACTGCTTCACTGGTGCCGACGCTAAGTACATCATTCGCGTTCATGACAATTCTGCAATCAACAATTCACTTACCTTGCGGAAGAAAAATACTTCCCGTAACTAAGGGGTCTAAGCGGGCATTCCCACAGTCCTGACCTGGGCCATGAGGTTAGCAAACAGAAGGAAACAAGCACGTAAGTCTGATTTCTGACCCGGGTATTCTAAATCGTGTCAAAAACCAGGCAGTGGTGGTGGGCGGGGAGGAAAGTGGGAACCCCCACCGGGCTCTCCAGTGCGCCACCCTGTGCCACGCCCTGAATCGCTGCAAGTCCTTTAACTCTGACTTTGAAGATAGAAATACAATCTTTGGGAAAAGAGTATTTTAACCTGTTAAGAAAGGCTTGTGAAAATTACACCAAAACGAGAAGCCTGAAAGCCAGAGCGCCAGCCCCGGGAGGCCCGTCAGCGGGAGGAGCCCGCAGAGCGGAGAGGGCGGCGGGGAAGGCACCCGTCCGGGCCAGCCTGGGGTTTCTCTCCAAGCTAGACTGACTCTGGCTGCGGGACATGTGACACAAAGCATGGACAAGGAGGATTATGCATCACCACAAAGTACAGTTTTCACTTTATGACACCTGCAGACTTCCCCAGAACCATTCAAGATATATAAGGTTAAGATCTGAAATCCAAAGTCATTTTGAAAACGAAACGCTATACAACTCCCAAGGTTCGCTTCTGTCTCCAAGCAAATGTTTCGAGAATTCTCCCAGCTTATCATGAGGAGAACCAGGCCAGGCTCAGGCCCCGGGAGTGCTCCACGGGCAGCTGGCTCGGCCCGAGGTGCCTCTGCTTCCCAAGGCCCCACGGAGCTGGTGACAGCGTGTGACAGGGCCCGAACCCCCAGGGAGAGCCTTTCCTGGACAAAAAGCTCCTAGAAAAGTCCATTCAGACTGGAGCATGCGACCCAACGGTGGAAACACGGAGGTGAACCCTGCAGATGCTCCCACCTGCCCTTCAGTCCCCCAGGCACTGGCCAGACGGAAACCAGGGCCTGTTCCTGACAGCAAACTCCCGTGGGCATCTCCCCAGCCAGCCACCGTGCACCTGGCGTCTGGGAAGCACAGGCTGGCCCCCTACCCAGAGGGCCGGTATCTGCCTCAGACTAGAGCCTGAGAGCCCCACAGCCCCTGCGCCCACCTCCCTCCCCCGGACAGCCACCAAGCACCCGCCCCAGCCACGCACAGAAGCCCCCAGACCCGGGCCCTCCCTCCCCCACATCCCCCCCAGCTCGGCCGCGCACTGAGGCCTCCCGACCCTCCTCCCACCCAAAGCGACCTGCGGCTTCGGGCCTGCCCCCACCCCTGGCCTGTGGCCTCACAGAGGTCTCTCCGAGAAGGAAGGCCAGGAGGGCGAAGCCTGGGCTCGAGACGTCTCACTGCAAAGTCACACACACGCATAAGGATTCTTTTAAAGACACAGACTGTCGACAACTACACGTTACTTCAATGCTCATAAAAAATACTCAATT